CTCAGGTACGAAGCGTAGCTTCCATGCGCGCCCTCAGGGACCTCAGGTACGAAGCGTAGCTTCCATGCGCGCCCTCAGGGACCTCAGGTACGAAGCGTGCCTTCCATGCGCGCCCTCAGGGATCTCAGGTACGAAGCGTGCCTTCCATGCGCGCCCTCAGGGACCTCAGGTACGAAGCGTAGCTTCCATGCGCGCCCTCAGGGATCTCAGGTACGAAGCTTAGTGTTTCTGAATATCCTATTATTTATTTGTTCTTAAATATTCAACTTGGCTCCGTACTTGGAACAGGTGAGTGGCGGTATTTCAGTGCTGTAGGATCCTTTCATATTTAGCGATGGTTGAATGTTAAATATTGATTCTTACTTGGAACAGTTGCTTGGCAAGATCTGCTTCTGTATACCTACGTATTTAGCAATAATTCAATGTTCAACATCGTTCCTTACTTGGAACAGTTGCTTAGCAAGATCTTGAGCTTATATACTTCCATATTTAGTAATAATTAAATGTTCAAAATCGTTCCTTACTTGGAACAGTTGCTTAGCAAGATCTTGAGCTTATATACTTCCATATTTAGTAATAATTAAATGTTCAAAATCGTTCCTTACTTTGAACAGCTTCTTGGCAAGATCTTAGAGCTTATATACTTCCATATTTATTAATGATTAAATGGTAAAAATCGTTCCTTACTTTGAACAGTTTCTTGACAAGATCTTAGAGCTTATATACTTCCATATTTAGTAATAATTAAATGTTTAAATCGTTCCTTACTTTGAACAGTTTCTTGGCAAGATCTTACAGCTTATATACTTCCATATTTAGTAATAATTCAATGTTAAAAATCGTTCCTTACTTTGAACAGTTGCTTGGCAAGATCTTAGAGCTTATATACTTCCATATTTAGCAATAGTTAAATGTTAAAAATCGTTCCTTACTTTGAACAGTTGCTTGGCAAGATCTTAGAGCTTATATACTTCCATATTTAGCAATAGTTAAATGTTAAAAATCGTTCCTTACTTTGAACAGTTTCTTGGCAAGATCTTAGAACTTATATACTTCCATATTTAGCAATAATTAAATGTTAAAAGTCGTTCCATACTTGGAACCGGTGCTTTGCTACTTCCTATATAGAGCTTCTGTATACCCCAATATTAATCAATGGTCAAATGCTTCGTCTTGTTCATGACTTGTCGACATCTTAATGCCTCTGGGTTCTGGCATATTTAGCAATGTTGAAATGTTTAGTATTGTTGCTAGAATAAAATGCGTAGCAAGATCTCTGTGCTTAGTGATATTCTCAGTTAAACCCATAACCATTAACATTGATTAGGTTCATTTATTTATTGTTATTATTATCTAGGTTTGTGTAAACATCTGAGTGATTCTTGGTGACTTCTTGATAAATCAAAGATCAAAAACTTATATAGAATTCTAAATTACTCACTGGATATGTATACGTATTTTCATTTTTCCTTAGTGAATCTGAAATTGTAATTGCAATTACTTTCTGCGTTATTTCGAGGAAACAAACTTTGGTAATATTTAATACAACGCATTATCACGTTAAGTGCGGGACGACCCACGGGTGGGGGGCAGGGTCTTTCTTCCGGATAAATTCCGCGATTTAGTTTTTTTTTAATCGTGTTTGTTGACAAAAATTTATGATGGCAGTACTGCCTCATTAAAATATAAAGTGTACGAAAAAAGGAAAATATAATTTTGCAGCTGAACCTACAAATTTACTAGTATATTTTGAATTATAGGCCTTTTTAGCAGCGGACTTTGCCGTTTTTAGGCCAGCTGCCAGCGCTGTGGGTCGCTGCCGCACTTAACGTGTTAAAAGAGAATAAACTACATTATTTATTAATGGTGTTCATTACTTGGTCAGAGTTGAGCAGAGCTCCCTAGCGCCGTGTCGAGAGCTACTGCAGGCTCTGTCGTGTAGCACGTCTCTGCAGCGCCTCGTACTCATCTCGCCGAGACCTGCACACACGAGCTATGATGTCAGAGACACGCTGCAGCTGATCAAGGGTGAGACGTGCACACACGAGCTATGATGTCAGAGAGACGCTGCAGCTGATCAAGGGTGAGACATGCACACACGAGCTATGATGTCAGAGACACGCTGCAGCTGATCAAGGGTGAGACATGCACACACGAGCTATGATGTCAGAGACACGCTGCAGCTGATCAAGGGTGAGACACACACGAGCTATGATGTCAGAGACACGCTGCAGCTGATCAAGGGTGAGACATGCAGACGAGCTATGATGTCAGAGACACGCTGCAGCTGATCAAGGGTGAGACATGCACACGAGCTATGATGTCAGAGACACGCTGCAGCTGATCAAGGGTGAGACATGCACACACGAGCTATGATGTCAGAGACATGCTGCAGCTGATCAAGGGTGAGACATGCACACACGAGCTATGATGTCAGAGACATGCTGCAGCTGATCAAGGGTTAGGTCGTGCGAGGTTGAATATCCTGAATTTAAATACAATGTTGCGATTATTTTTTCAAAGAGGTTCATTTGGATGTTTGAGATTGCGTTCTTGTTGCTTGAGTTTGTTTAGTTATAAATAAATAAAATAGCACAATAACATAACATAATAACAGACACGACCGCAATTATAGAAGGTTCCGTTATCTTAATATAATACAAGATTCCTTTTTAGCGCATTTTCTCATTTATGGAAAAAATGCACTATTGTGCTCGTCATGTCCGTCTGTCCGTCCGTGACTTCACGTTTTCGTTGACGAGAAAATGCGCTCTCTGTCACTACTGCAGAAAGTATTGAGTTATATTTTTCGTTTGTATGGACAATTAAATGAATGAATTAACCCTTCTGTTATCTTCATTTAAGCTATACACCTTATACTCTCTGGGTCAAGGTTGCAATTGTTCTACATTTTAACCCGAAAACAACAGGAGGATTAATATTTTATAGTAGTATCGCCGTGGGGGAAGTTCCAGTGCAAATGGGTTGATCTTGAACGATCATAAATTATTTCATTTAATACGTGTTTTTTGTTGAAATGTTCATGCAATTTTTCGTTTTGTTTTATTATTGGCATTAAATTTTTATTTTTTTTTATTGAAGACCTTTAATGCGCATTTATTATTTTATTGAAGACCTTTAATGCACGTTTGTTATTTTATTGAAGACCTTTAATGCGCGTTTGTTATTTTATTGAAGACCTTTAATGCGCATTTGTCCTTTTTTAGCGCATTTTCTCTTTATAGAAAAAATGCACTATTGTGCTCGCCATGTCCGTCTGTCTGTCTGTCCGTCCGTGACTTCACGTTTTCGTCTACGAGAAAATGCGCTCTCTATCACTCACTGCAATGAGTACTCAGTTAATATTTTTATTTATGAGCTTTGATACGTTGTTGTTGATATAATTTTATTAACATGTGCAGGCGTGGGTACGCTGGTGTTCGCGTATCTGCAGGCTCCGCACATCACCGACAAAGACGCTTTGCTGCTCGCCAGAACCGCTCGTAAATTGTCAGTAAAGTCATATTTTTCGAAACTTCTAAGCATTCTTAGTTAAAAAAAACGTATTTAGGTTAGCTTTATTTCTATCCGAT